TGCTGAAATCAACCCTCAAAAGCACTCAAGGGGGAACACGGCTTTCAATAAACAGGAGGTGATGGATATGGGCGAGAGGGGCAGAACCTCTTCAGGGAAAGCAGACATTTACCTTGAAGAAGGTAGGCACAGGCTCTCCTTTGCAGGGTTAAGATTTGTGCACAGGATGCCTAATGAAGATTAGGGAGAAAGAGATAGGGAACATTTCCATCGACCGGAAGAATTGGTGCAAAATTTGCCAGTGATGCTTGTAATGGCTGAAAGCGCTAGGCATTGAAATCTGTTTGTGTCTGTGGTTGGGCCTCCCTACTTTCTCATTTCCCCACGCACATCTCTGCTCGGTATTTTGATTAATATAATGGGAATGTATCATCACCTGGATTTCTGTGGTCATTTGAGACAAAGGTGTGTGCCTGAGTGTAATTAGGCACTCGTAATAGTTTTAGTACAACTGATTAGCATGGTTATTTTCAATTTATTTTTATTTTATTTTAATATGCTCTGCACTTCACACCCGGCAGAGCAAATGGTATGGAAAAACTAAGTCTAGGACTTTTTCTCTTGGTTATTTTACGTGCTAGCTAGTGTTCAACAAAAAATTATCCATACTTGGCTACTTATTCATGACTTCTAATTAGTCCTTAGCTAATCGTCATCTGCAAAGCAGACTTATTTTACTTAGTTTATTTTAAATTAAGGCTACTGGGGATTAGCATCTACAAGGTCACTTGACAAAACGCCAACCTTGCCCACCAGGCAAAGGTTACTCTAACGAGCTCACGAATTCCCAGCACTGTGCACTGCCTACATGGGTACCTCTCCCAACAGGATCACAGAGCAGACTTTAGCTAAAGACAGATTAATGCCAATTTAGTCAGCATAATGCCTCCTGGTGCTAAAGCTTTTCCGTTGCAGCAGCGCTTGTAAAGTCCCTAAGAAATCCCACGTGTGTGTACTGGCTTTGCATACAGCAACTTTGACCAAAGGATAAGGTTTTGCAGCAGCAAATTTCAGAACTCCTGCATCTAGGCGAAAAGATAAACATTCAACATTTCTCTCAAGAGCTGATCTTTTTTTTGTTTTAATTTTTATATATATAAATATACCATAAAGCGTACCATTTCCTCATTTCAGTACAGATTTTTCGAACTTTACTAAAATAAATGAAATATAAATGCTACAATTTTATGTTTAAAATAAGTTTCGATGACAGCCCCCCCCTAAGGGCGGGCCCAGAAACTCTGCTGGCTACGTGGAGAGAGACAAAAACACCCCCAAAACTTCATTCTATGCAAGAGCATTCAGAACAGCAGATGTGCCTCAGCTGGAGCTGCGTGTCTCCAAGTTCCTCACGTGAATGCCCACTCTCCTTAGTAGAAACTGCTTTATTACTAACCTGAAAATTTCACATTCAAACATGTATCTCCCTTAAATGCATTGTCAAGACCCAGTTTTCCATATCTGTGCCTGCCTTTGCTGATCCCAAATGGCAAGAGGTATCGTCAGTTGTGGATTTGGGGATCAGGATTGCAAATTGCTGAATTTTCAGATAAAGCCATGGGAAATCAACCACTGTAAACCTAGGAAAAACTGTCCATCTTTGTTTTTTCCCTTCTCCTTCACAACCTGGAAAATGTTCACAGCATTGAAACAGTGAGGCGTAGGAGCAGGGGTGCGGACAACGCACCCTGCACCCGTTTTGCACTTTTGTACTTCTTCCCGATCCTGTCTTTGACCTTAACTGGTGCCTCCTGGACAGGAGAGGAGATTCCAGGTGAATCCTACACTACCCATCACAACCCCTTTGGTTCAACCTCTACTACACTTTCAGGTCCTGCAGGTGAATACTCAGCTACTAAAGCAGCAACCTAAAAATCTGTCGGTGTGTCTTGCTGCCAAGGGTTTTGTTGTTGGTTTCCTCCTTCCCAACGCATACTTTCCAGAACAGACACGTTAAAACAAAAACCAAAACGAAATCTTTAAAACAATGATAACACCACAATATCTGTTTAAAACAGTACTGCCCGTGCTCTGGACAAATTGTTAAGAGCGATTCAGCATTCTTATAATTAATCCACAACAGAAGAAGCTATAAGATGCCACAAAAGAAGGCATAATTGGCCATACATAGGCAACACTACCATGAATGTTGTTTGGCAAGGAAAAAAACAAAAAAAAAAAGCAGATACATAATTCATCCAAAGAAAAGGGTTCAGAACTGCCCGGCGCTGCTGGGATCACACTGCAGGAGACGGACTATGGATGGATCGCTCTTGGCGCCTCGGATGAACTCTTCCAGAGAGAGTTTTCCTAGAAAAGAAACACGTTTGCTTAGCGCACGGGGTGGGTTACAGCACACCTGCCAAGCCTGTGGGCAAGCAGGGTGGAAGGAAGCTGGGGGAACCCAAGGAAAATCCCTGAGAGAGAAACCCCTAAAGGCAAAGCCCTGCTGCTGGCTGTGGAGGGTGGTGGCTTTGCCTGGGCAGCTGAAGGAGGAGTGGTGGGTTTGAGGGGTCACCCCGGGTGGGCTGGACAAACCGGCCACCCAGCACGGGGTCAGAGGCGGCCGTCCCAGCATCTGGAGGGTGCCTACCGTCACGGTTGGTGTCCATCTGGCGGAAGATCTTCTCTGTCCTCTTCTCTGGTGTTGACTCGTCTTCCGGCATCTTCATTACAGAAGAAACCATCTTATAGATTGCCTGTGTGATACGACAGGAGCAAAGAGCTGGTAAGAAACACATTATCTTAATGCAAGGGTACGATTATCTCACCTGGTGACAGAAATAGGCAGAAAATATCCTGGGAACATCAGCTGGGACCTGCTCCCTGGATGCTAGAGGGAGTTGAGCGGCACCAGCACATGCAGCCCTCCTCAGTGGACACTCATTTATGAAATACTGTGTCTCCTTATTTAGTCACGGTTGAACACAATCTGGGTTTGGACCGAGGTTACATTTTTCCTTATTAAAAGAGTCTTCAGATGAATTTATCACTTGTACAGCATGCTAGGCACCACAGCTCCCAGGGCCTGGATGGTAAGACTATCGAGGTCTTGTCCCACACTGTGGTGTGGTTTGGCCACCCAGTCTCCATCCTCACTACCTCTGTCCCCTCACGCTGCCTTTGCTCTCCCCCCCCTCTCCTTTCTCTCCCCCCTTGGGCAGCACCCTGCTTGTGGGGAGGGCAGTGACTCACTCCCTGCATTTGCCGTGTCTCACAGATCGTGAAGACTTGACCAGCAAGGAGGTGGCCTTTTCCTTGGGGACTGGTGTGTGTACACAGCTGAGAAAACCCCATTCACAATTCATTCCACAGAGAGCAGATGTTCTGGTCCCACATGGCACTGGTGCCACCCATAGCTATTCTCTGCACAGACAAATCCATTAGTCGCGCACGGTGTTAGCCATCCCCGAAAGAGAGGTAATGTTACTTTTAAAGCAAGGCTAAGAAGTTGTCTCTGAACTGGTTATCCAAATGTTGCCTGCAAATGTGAGCATGCAGTGCCAGTAAACAAGTGTTTTGTGCGCCGGATAGATACCTTTACGGTGCCACACAGCTGGGAGAACAGCAGCAGCCAGAGGCTGCAGGGTGGTGGCTGCAGGGGACCCTCCCAGCCGTTTGGGGAGGCAGCACATCCCAGCCCAAGGCAGCGCTGCCCTGGTCTGTCCAGCTCCTTCTGTGTCCTATTGCAGCTTGTTGGCCTCTGGCTGATGGGCACTGCACCAAGCAGTCACTTTGCCCTCCAGCCCTGGTCTGTAGATGAGAATTTATTTTCCTCCACAGGTTCAAATTCTTGTTTCCCTCCCAACACAGCGTCTGCAGCAGTCAGCTGATAGCTCAGTGCAGGCGTGATCGCTCTGGCTATTTGTTCTCCACTTCCTCCTGCTCTGGGAGTTTGGGGATCATTGGCGCAAGCCCAAGATCACTTTCTGCATCTCCCCTCTCCCCTTTTCCCCTTCATGAAGGCACTCTGCCTGGCACACTCCCAACATCTGGCCCAGGGTCCCCAAGGGACGGCCTCAGGAAGGTGACAGCACAGATTCTCCAGCTGGAGGATGCCACTAAGCAGCACAGACATTTTACACTCAGATGAGGGAGCACTGGCTTCCTTGGCCATCTTGCCAGCTTCTCCTTTGTCAGCAGCTCACCTTTCACATCTCCTGGACTTTAAATAACTTAAAGAGTTACACCCTGAAGAAAGGCATTTGTCTGCTTAATTAATTCCCTGTTGCTTATGCTCTGGTCCCACAGTTGTGCCACCAACAGCCTGGCCACAGATTTCCTGGCCTGCCCTCCAGTACGTCTGTAACCCTGGCTATGGACCCAAGCAGGGGAACAGAGAACATTTCAGCATGAATAGCTGCTGGCTGAATGGAAAAGTGGTGGGCACCACCATCATCATCATCATCATCATCATCATCATCATCTAATCACAAAATAGAATCATAGAATGGTTTGGATTGGCACGGACCTTTAAAGGTCACCTAGTCCAACCCCCTTGCAATCATCATCATCAGCCGTGACCACCTGATAACCAGGAGAACAGAAGAAGGGATGAACATAGGGATGAGTGAGCCAGGGGAAGGAGGGAATAGGGGAAGAAAAAAAAGGAGAGGGTGGACAGTAAGAATTTACACCTTCCTCATCCTCATCAGCATGCAAGACTCGCAAGGGTCAGAGCAGAGATGAGGCTTATAAATCTGCCAATGTTTAGGCATCTTAAGCTGTCTGGCTTTTGTCTGGAGTAGGAAGAGAGGTGGAGGGGTCATTCCCTCACTCCGGGTGAGCGGACGGCAAAGCAGAGAATCTGTATTGAAAGTGTGGGAGGAATACCCTGGACCGGGAGTACAGGCGTGTTTACTCTGATCAAAGTAACTATAGTAAGAATATGCAGATTTTTAGGACAGAAAAAAAAAGCACTTCAAGATGACTTCATCCTACAGGGTCCTTTTCACAGAGGCGTGTGAAGGGAATAACAGATGAGATATTCTAGGAAAGCCAGATGGGAATAACATAGTAAGCGTTCCTTTCATGCTGAAAATGGTTACTCTGGACAAATTCTTATGTCCTTACTCAGAAGTTCAGTGGGAAGTTTTCCCAAAGTAAAAGCCAGCTAAAGCTGATTAAGAATCTTGAGACTTGCCTCATATTAATTCAGCGCAGCTACGCAGAGCTCATTATTGCACGTTTGAAAGAGCAAGCTTTCAAAAGAAGTTGGTTTCATGCGATAATGACGCGGAGCCAGGCTGTACTATGCCCTGGGCTGTAACCTGGGACCAAAAGGCTGCAGGGGCTCCACTCCATGTGGAGTACAACTCCTCAGCCCCACAGCCCTTGGGTTGAAAAAAAGCAGGAGAAGGTTTGGAGGTGGTTATAGAATGATAGAATCATTTAAGTTGGAAAAGACCTTTAAGATCACCAAGCCCAACCGTTAACCTAACCCTGCCATCCTACCACTAAACCATGTCCCTAAGCACCTCGTCTGCCCATCCTTTAAATACCTCCAGGGATGGGGACCCAGCCACTTCCATGAGCAGCCCGTTCCAATGCTTAACAACCCTTTCAGTGAAAAAATTTTTCCTAATGTCCAACCTAAACCTGCCCTGGTGCAACTTGAGGTCATTTCCCCTTGTCCTATTGCTTATTACTTGGGAGAAGAGACCGACCCCCACCTCACTACACCCTCCTTTCAGATAGTTGTAGAGGGCAGCCACGTGAGTCAGGGAGGCTTTTGCAGATGGACTTCTGTCAGGAGGGCTCCTTACAGCTCCCTGGCACCCCTGAACGCCACCGAGAAATTGTGCCTCCAGAGCCCGGTGTGCATCACTGGAGTGAGCACAGGCTCCAGTTTCATCTGGACTGGCTGGTTCTCTCCTGAGCTCTCCCCTTTGATTTTCCACCTGCATGGGGATGAATGGCCATGGGTGATTTAGGGCAAATCGCCCGTTCCCACACGTTTTGCTCCCAGTCGCTGGCTGCCACTGCTGTACTTGGGCCAGAAACCTTGATGGGGGCTGCACTTTCCTGCTATACTTGGCAAAGTGCCAAAGAGCTCCGTACAGTGATGGCAGCAATGACAGCACAAATTTTCAGTCAATCCTTTTTACTCTGTTGAAATAAATTTTGACAGCTGAAAGTCTCATGAAGTGAATAATTGACCTGAAGAAATTGCCTTCCTCTCAATCTCATGAGGATTTTTGACACTGTCTTTACTGAGAGCCATATCAGCTTCTGCTTCTTCCCATATCAGCTTCTATTTCTTCCTGGCTTACAAATAAGCCAGCCCAGCAAGTGAAATGTGTGTGCTCTGTTTGCATTAAACCGAATGCAGTTTAACTCAGTTCAGTCTTCTTAAGATGCTTTATGACTCCATATGGTGAAAAAATGTACCATTAGAACAAGGTTTCCATCTCTTATCTGAACTCTTATTTTAAGAGACTCACCAAATGTGTCCCATTTCAGCAAGGGGAACAAACACAAATCTTTTAGCTGATTTGCAGCTATTTTTGAGCGGACTGGGCTATTTAGATTATAGGTAAACACATGAGAGACATGAAAAACATTTCTAGAGCAGGAGAATCTGAGAGGATCTGTGGCGAGGTCTGTCGGGAGGGCAGGCTATGAAGCATCTTCCCCCAGTACTTTGCAGATGTGCTATGCCTGGTAGGTGGGTATAGCAGTATCCCGTGGACCTTCTTTCATTAGGCCCTGCAATTGTCACCCCTCCACTAAAGTCTTTCAAGTTATGAGCTCCTCCAAACTGGGCAGCCAGCTCCATGAGGATGGCTCAGGTGTGTCTCCAAGAGAGGCTTTTTTGGGACATGTCTAGGGGAAGCTGAAGGGCAGGCATGGGGAGCCTGTGACAGGCTACGTGCACATGGTTAACAGCACTATGGAGCTTAAAGGAATGCAGGTGCTTTGCCCTCCAGCCCGTTGCTTTGCAGGGAAAATGAGCTTCAAAAGACTGTTACGGACCAGTCTCGTTCATCCCCTTGGCCGCTGGCCAGGTACTAGGGCTCCTGCGGGACATGAGCCATCTTAACCAGTAGCTCTGCTGTTTCAGCGCCCCCGCTGCTACCACTGTTACCACAAGCACCTTCTTGCGACGTTGAGCAAGAGTGCAATGCCTGCATTGCCTGCAGCGATGTTAGATTGGGCCAGAGCATGAGAAAGCAAACATGAGAAACCATCAGCACAACGGTGAAAATCACTACCGAGAGAGGACTTTCAAAGCACAAAGAAAAGCAGATTGAAAAAGAAAAAAAGCATGCCTTGCCCCTATGTTATTTAAGATACAGCAATCCCACAGTAACAGGGACAGTATTTTTCTGCGAAACTAAGACTTTTAGGTTGACCATGTTTCTTCTAGCATTTGTTTTGATGTATTGTCTCATACAAAAATCCCGATGAGAACATAATAAATCCTACTATAGCAATATGCAGATGTATGCTAGATAAGAGACTTGTAATAGGTTCCTCTGAGACACATATCAGAGATATAACAGAATTCTGTTTTTCACTATCAGAAAGATTGTGACAGCTGAGGGTCCCTATGAAGACATTTGACACAGAATCCTTTCTTTCCACATTAAAAAATAATCATCTTTTGTAAATGAAAGTGATAGTTGTTAGCTGTTTTTTTTATTAGTCTAATCACTCTCCATCAAAGGAACCTCCCAATAAAGCAAGAAAATGTGCTCATCTACTTCAGCTTCACATATCAGCTGAGCACGCTTCCAGAGACTACGCAACAAATCCTACCCCACTGGGATGAGCTACGGGTGACCAGTGCAACACAGGGAGATCACTACAACCATAAGAAACTGGAAGAAGAGAACAGGGTGAGATCTACAAGCACATTGCCTCCTGGGAAGCTCCATCACAGGAAGGGCAGCTTTCCTGATTCTAAACCCACTGACGGTCCATGGTGCAGAAATGACTGTTGCTTGGGCTTATTGGGATGTTTACTTCCACAATCAATTTTTGTGTTGTCCCTCAAAATGCTAGGTGAGAGTAAAGGATAGAAAGCATCACTCAGTTGAGATTCAGGTGTGATCTGAAAGGAGGAGAGAATCAAACATCCCAAGAAGTGCAGTGGGAAGGCTGGAGTGCAGGTTGAGGGCTGTACGCAGCCCAAGTGTTGCTCTGGCTTGGATGCACAAATTGACAAAATGTCATCCTGCACTGATCCCTTAAGCTGCTGCTTTCTTTGACAATAGCATCATGCTTGTAAAGGATGATACTATGATTTGGTACCAACATGACTGTGAAGAGAAGGCAGAGCATTTCAGACGCTAATCATGCTGGTGAGCAGAGCTGGGGTTAACTGGAAAAAGCTGCTGGTTTTGCTGGTCCTCGCTTGGCTTGCTACAGAGAATCCAGCCACTGATGTTTTCTTTAAATTTGACATGAACACATTCATGGCACTGTAGTCCAAGTTTGTGAATCTTCTGGTCTGGGTGGGGTTGGGCTGCCGTTCAGCACCGAGGCCTTCCTGGGCTACTCAACAGCAGCAAGTGGTCTGGGAGTTCCTGGGGCATCTCCTCCTCCTGACAAATCATAGAATCATAGAATGGTTTGGGTTGGAAGGGACCTCTAGAGGTCATCTAGCCCAACCCCCCTGCAGTGAGCAGGGACACCGCTAGCTAGATCAGGTTGCTCAGAGCCCAGTCCAACCTGGCCTTGAATGTTTCCATGGATGGGGCCTCCACCACCTCTCTGGGCAACCCGTTCCAGGGTTTCACCACCCTCATTGTAAAGAATTTACAATGGAGCAGGCGCTTGCTCGGGTTTGGCTCCTTGTGTTTGCTTTGTACTTCGTTAGTCCTTTTGAGATGCTCTTTGTTTTCTTATGGGGAGAAATACAGCTAAGGAACCAATGACTGACAGCCTGTTTACCCTACCTGGGGAAGAGGAGAGTTGGTAAGGAACAGAGTATCTTCTAATGAAAATATTCCACAGGATTTGTCATGGCATGGAGACAGAAAGGTCTCTGCATCTGAATGCAGTCCTGCTCGTTAACTCAGGCACACAGGAACACAAAACAGAGTAAGTGAAAGACGCCACAACCACCCTGCATTTGCAGCTGAGCTTTGCATCTAGTCTTGCTGAGCGGTGCAAGTGCTGGTGTTAGTTACCATTCGGGGGACATGAGAAGAGCCCTGGTAGCAAGACAGGGGCACCACGCGTTAGGCTGACTCCATACATGCAGTTTGCCATCACAGCCTGCAATCTGTGTGCATTCCTTTCCCTTGATTTCCAGCACAAATATAAATCCGAATAATACATTACATAGCTAGCATTTCAGAATTTCCAGGGAAAGAAAGGATCTTGATAGCAGGCTTTTTTTTTTCTCAAACAGTGCTGCATTATACAAGCTCAAGCTGTGTAAATACACCACCATATCAAAAATGTTTTAAAGCTTTCAGTAGAGAGATGTGCCTCAAGGGTAAAAACATGTTAGAAGAAGCCAGAGTGAGGTGGGACTCCTACTAACGTCACAAGAAAATGCATCCAAAGAAGCTGTGCATGGAATCATCATCTACCCAGTCAAGGTTATCTATACTGGCAACTTAATATGAAGACAGCTAGTATGATGCTAAGCACGCAGAATTAGGCAGCCAGACATCTTTTAAAATATGTGAGCTGGTTCTCCATAACAACATGATTTCAAAGTAGATTTGTTTCTTATTGTGGAGGGAGCCTGCCTCCCTTAAAAGTACACTACCTGGCTGATCTAAGATACCTACTTGGTCCAACTGTAATTAATTGTCTGTGATTTCCCAGAGGACAGAATCACATTTATCAGAAGGTTTGTTGCTGTGCTTCTGCCCAAGAGAACTCCCAAAGGAGAACTTCCCACGCAGCGTGGTGCTCAGAAAAAATTTGCAATGGATATCAAATGCTGTAGTTTGAATTGTGACACGATCTCTGCCAAATGAAATACCATTTTATACTCAAGCAGTTACACGGAGAACCAAGAACCTAAACCCCCAAATGCTGCCAGGGTTTTTAATTCAGTGTCTCATTGCAACATTGCTTCACGATTTGCTTGGAAGGAGGGAGGCCAAGGGGTGCCTCCAAGCAGCACATACCTGCACAATTTCCAGCATCTCTGACTTACTGATGTAGCCGTTCCCATCAAGGTCGTACATGCTGAATGCCCACTTCAGCTTTTGCTCCAGTTTACCTCTTGATGTTACGCTCAAGGCTATGATGAATTCTCTGAAATCTATTGTTCCGTCTCCGTTGGCGTCAAAAGTGCGGAATACATGTTCCGCAAACTTAGAAGCGTCCCCATAAGGGAAAAAGTTCCCATATATTTTTTTAAACTCCTCCATAGATAAATGTCCGCTTGGACAGTCTCTCAAGAAGCCTTTGTACCATTCCTGGATCTCGTGTTCTGTAAAGTCTGTACTTTCTAGCAAATCTTGCATGACTTCAGGGCGTAGTTTGCTGTTTTGCTTTCCCATGTTGGTGTCAAAATATTAACTGCAGAAGAAAAACAAAAACATATGTATTATTATTATTATTATTATTATTATTATTATTACTATTACTATTACTTAATAACTATTAGCTTGGAGGCTGTAGTAGAACAGTGTGCTGGATTTGGAGTTTTCTAATGGTAGTTCACTCTTGGGAATCAATTGAAACTTTGGGCAGTGTGCACTACTACAAGTCTACTGTGAAAAAATTAACAAGCCTAATCTCCATGTTCATTGCATTGTCTTTTCACAGCCTGGAGAAGTGTAATTACGCTGAATTCATTGCCATCCTACTTTGCTTTTGAAATCACGAGGTAAGCAGTGGATGTTGGAAGGTTGGAAGCTGACCGGTGGCTGTGTGTTGCAGCACACCCTCCATCCTGGTCACCCAACTGTCTCAAGGACCTGACCAGCAGGAGGTGATATGTTTTTTTGTACCTCTAGTAGAAACCAGGTTGCTCCAAAGGCCTGTGTTAACTTGGTCTTGCTCCAAAATGAGATCAAGGTCCACCTGTAGTGCCCACTGAAACCAGAAGCAACGAAGACCTTCTAGATATATCTTTATAGCCAAAATCAAACAGAGCAACCCAGAAGCTGCCTCTCTTGTTTGGCATGGACCAATTTCCATTTGAGTTCAAAATGCGGATAAAATCTGAAAAGATTTTATCAGTGGTGGATTCCCCCACCCCAAACTGTTACTGTGTTTTTTAATTCTCCTTGTAGCCAGAAATTGGATCTATTACTAAGTAACAGTAATCTGGGTGGTCACAGATCTTTAAATAAAACCTCTTTAGAAAAAAGGGAGGGGAAAAAAAAGTACCCAGACAACAAAATTGGAAATTCATTTCCCTGAAATGAACCATTGAGAAGTGTTATTGGATACAGCTTCTGTTAAATCACTTTAATTATATTTTATTTAAGGCAAGTTGCTACATTGTGCAGCAGATTTACTAATGACTGATGCCCTTTGGGTTTTAAGTTTTGGAGGTTGAGTGTGTTGGCTCCAAAAGGCAACATCCCCAGTTTTACTGGAAGCTTAGCATTATACCTGAATTGTGGGAAGTTAGTCTCTATCGACAGAAACCTGCCTGAGAATTTGTCAGGAGAATGACAGTCACAGCTAAAATCTGATGTATGGACAACTTAAGTAGAATTGCAAAATAATTTATGCAAGGCTCCCACACTGTTGTCAGAATGGAGTCTCTGGGCCACAGAGATGGATTTATGAACAATGTCTGGAGTAGCTAATGAGCATTCAATAAAATGTCCTTTCTAGATCAAGGTAATACTTTTAAAAAATGAAGAATAATACAGCATCATTACACGTCAGAAGCAGCTAGTCAGGAATGTGCCACCATTTGAAGCTAAGGGTCTGTCTCTTCTATTTGGCACTGGGAAGAAGAAATTGAGGCTCCCCCGGGTTGATGCTAATTGTTGCCTGCAGTGAGAAGCTCCTCTTCTCCCAGGGTGAATTCGAACTCCCCAAGGCAGCTAGAGGACTGACTCCTTCATCTCCTGTATTCTTGGACTAGAATGACAAAAAGCTTTATTTCCCAAGGGTGAAAAGGGATCCATCAGTCATGTGTCTCCATGGGATCCACTGATGGCTATCTGGTAACTAGATGTCTACTCTTGAACTTGTTGCCTACACAGCTGATGGAGAAGAGGCTCCCCTGTTCACCAAGAGGAGGCTGAAAGGGGTGAGGAGTCCTGCCCGATGGGAGCTTCTCCACCTCCTGACTATTTCAGGGGTCTGGGCAACTACCTTGATCCAAATGACATCTTTTCCTCCAAAGTGTCTCCAAAATACTTGGAAAGTAGAAGATGCCACCTCAAAGGTAATTTTTTCTACTGCCTTTCCTCCTTTCATCCTGATCAAAACATACTGTACATTTTTTAAGTAACCCAAGCTCTTACTACCCTGAAAATAGCAAAAAAGTCCCTGTTTTATAGGCCTGGTCCAACAGCTGCCGAGGCAGCTGAAGGTTGCTTTGCCTTCAGTGGGTGTTGGATGGGGGCCATAATAAACAACCTGGGAATTAGCTGAGTGAAGGGATTACATTAGGGCAGCCAGACGGGTTTATGTCAGGCAAAACAACACGAGCAAGGTCTGTCAGCAGGATGGGAAAGCAACTGGACAAGTGAAGTGGCCAGGCTTAGTTTAGAGCGGCACCAGTTTAATAAAAAACAAACCGGTAAAATCCCCAGAGTAGGTGGCAGCTGCCCCCACCCACGGTCAGCAGCTCTTCCCCAGCCCCAGGGGCTGCACACTTTTCAGACCGTTAGAGTAGAAAGGGAAGGTCTCTGACTAATGTGCAAGCCAGCTGCGGTAGGAGTGAGCTGGCATTAGCGATATAATCCCCTGCTGCTTTTTAATATCTCAAGCATTTGAAAACGCAACTCTCGGCTTGCACACTTCCAGTCCAGAGTCTTCTGAAAAATAAAATAGTGAGGCAACACGCAGGCAGTGGCCTTCAAGAGGTAGCTGATAAGAAGGTGTTTCAGTCCAAAACCCGATGCCTTTATAGCTGTACATGGCTGCAAGTGAGACATATTTTTACCAAACAAAAAATACAGAATAGCAGAACTCACTGCATTGCATTGGTAGGAGCAAGACATCGCCATCAGAAAAATCTGTGTTCTCCAGGCACAGAGGGAGAGCTAACCATATGTGGCTTGCTTGAAGGGGTTGGAATTCACAGCCGCAATCAAAACTGGTTGGATTATTTCTGAGTCCACTTGTAAGGAGTTTATATCATGTTCATTGCCCTCCAGATCCTTCTTTATTAATAGGCAGTGTTCTAGGAACCATAACGATGGGATTTATTGTGCCCATTCTATCAACAACAGATCAAAATGCTTTTGCAGTCCAAGTACACAAAATCCTTGAAGACACTTGAAGATCCTTATAATCACTTCATAGACTGCTGCCTGCCTCTTCAGGATAGATTAGATTATGGGCAGAGTACATTGAGCGAAGTGGATGTCAGCTAACAAGGACAGCAATAAATGCACAGAATGAAATAAACTTGGATCTGATTTTAGGCATTTTTTCACACTTTATGACCTCCATAGATCTCTCAAATTTCTAATAAATGATTAGATGTTAAAAATACGTTGAGTAAATAGCAAATGGCAATCTCTGTGGCAAAGTAAAATATTGACAATACTGAGAAATGGATGTTGTGGGTATACAAAACAAAGGCAAATTAAGTGTTTAATGATTATGTTTAATTGCACTTCTACAATTTCTTCCTCTGATACAATGGCGTTAGACATAATATATATGAATGACTTCCTATATGGGGCAACATGACGTACAGAAATACTAAGGTCTTAATTCTGAAGGCAATATTGTTTGGTAAGAGAATGTGATGTGTTTAAGGCTTGAAGGGTTGGTACCATGTCAGCCAACAGCTACAGAAGATGGGCAAGGAAAGCATCACTGCTGTGTGGTTGCTACGGAAAGAATCCCTGTTCACGATTATTGTAGGAAATGCCATAGGTGCTGCTCCATAAAGTAAATACTCAGAGCTTGCTCTAATCAGGTCTAGGAGGGGAGTTTTTAAGACGAGCCTGACGGCAGAGCTTTTTGACAGACAGCAGGCTGTGACAATGCAGCCTGCCACCACAGCGGCTGACTTGCCCTGCAGCACAGTATGTTGTGTGCGGACAGGACATCGGTGCCGCTACAGCCTTCTCCTCAAACGGGGAGAACTGACTGGACAGAAGGGCAGGGAACACTTACTCTACCCCATGTCTCTTGTCAGCGGTTTGCTGCTGCTCACATGCAGTTGTCACCTCCATCTGAAACCTCGGGGTAAGGCGAACATACCGCCTGCTCAAGCAACGGCCTCGCAGGAGCTGGCAAGCTGCAGCAGCCAGGAGCGTGCAGCTAACCATTGCTGTGTGAATGCAACACAAGCATCTAAACGTGCTTCCTTAAGAGAAAACAAATCTATTTTTTTTTCTGTTGGGGGTTCGCTATAATAAGCAAGTGCTAGCAATGCATTTCTAATAACACTCGTGCTCTTCAAACTTGACAACCATCATACAAAGACAACCTTTTTTTTTTTCCAGTTGAGCTCGGTCTGCCAAAGAGAGCAAGACATCTAATTTTGATTTAGGCTTAAACCTTGGAGGAAAGGCCACTGCTGAGAAAAAGTAAAATGAGAAAGGGGCACTTGTCCAGGGGGAAGTGTTGCTCTAAGAATGGAGAATTTAGAATATTGGGTACTTCGCAGCTAACAGGGTACAAAGCACCTGAAAAGTGTAAAGAACTAATTTCGAGGCAAGTCCTGATATATTTCCAGTGGGGATAGCAAGAGAAATCGCACCATAGACTTGGCTACAGAGACTAACTGTGTAAAAATGAAGGCAGAAAACTTTTCAGAAAGAAGCAACGAAAGCTCCATTTTGTGATTTCAGTGCTGTTCCACAATTTAAAATTAGAAAGCTCTAGATAACAAAACATGAGCTTCAGGGAACAATCTTTCAGAGGCAGAGAGATAACACTGGACAGTGCAGGAAGCCTTTTACACAGCCGGTTTATACAGTCTTACAGCCACAGGATGCACACATGGGGAATTCTGGGGCACGGGTGGGAAAGTTTCGGCAACACACCACTAAAGTGAGCAAGGCACTTCTCCAGTATAGCTGAGAGACAGCTGGATGATGGATATACTGGTACCAGCTTACTTGACTAGTAATACAGCTCTGTAATATTACAGAAAACAGGGATGAGCCACCTCATTAATGCTTGTCTTCAGAAACTGCTGTGTCTTGGTTTCTTACACACACAGTCTGACCTGTTGTTACCCGAGAAACAACCCACTTCTGGGGGAAATGCTGTTTTTAACATTTCTAAGACATAATTTGAGAATTTCCCTGAGAACAGTAATCACAGGATTTCAATCTCTGCCGAGCAGCTGAAGAAGTCCCTGACTACTGCTGGAAGGCGCTGAAGGCTGAGCAGGACAGCAGCA